CTCCTACAACTTGGGTGTCCTCACCAGTTGCTGTCCTCAACCTTGCTCCAGGTAATGGCCTTACCTATTCAGTGACCAAATCAGATCAAATGATGGAATGTGATGCGCCCGTATCCACAGTTAGTACTCGCTCATGTCCGTCCACATATCCACCAACAGTAACGTTGCTCGCCTTTCTGCCAATTCGCGAGACGGAGATTATGGGGCATTCAATTACGGGAGCCAGCGCGCGCCCCTTGCTGCTGGCTCGTTTTAGTTTAACGACTGATTGGAGTTGGATTCGTCTCCTTCAGTCCTGCGTTTGCGTCCTACTGAATTGTTGAGCACACTGGAGCTTGCGCTGCAATCGCGGGCGAAGTGGCCTGGCTTTCCACATTTAAAACATTTTCCAGAGCCATGCTTTTTCTCACCCAGCAGTTGGATTAGCTTCTTCAGCATTTCCTTTGTCTCGTCCGGTGTCTCCACTTCCATGCGATGTGCTTTGTAGGCTGGTCTACTTAGAAGCGCCGCCGTTTCACGCGTCTGAGCATACGAGACAGTTTCAGCAAATGTTGGCTTGGGATTCGCGTACGTCTCTCGCTTGGTATACACGTCCCGCATTCCGTTGATGAACCTCTGGATTTTTATTCTTTCGAGGTGTTCACCAGATGCATCTCCAATTGCCAAATGAGCCAACCTTTCAACCTCAGAGGCGAATTCCTGTAAAGTCTCGTTGGATTTCTGGCAGCGATTCTCCAGTTCCATCTGGTAAATCTGTCTCCGGTGCTCGCTACCATAACGTCTTTCCACTGCACCCATTAACGCATCGTAACTGTTCCTTTCACAGTCGGGAATAGTCTGCAAGATTTCTGCCGCAGGTCATTTCAATGCAACGAATAGTGCAGCTGATTTATCCTCCATGCTCCAATGATTCGCTGCAGCCGTTTTTTCGAACTGGAGCTTAAAGACCTGGAAAGGAATCGTGCCGTCAAAGGATGGGGTTTTTACCTTGGGTGCGCTCGTCGAAGTAGCTGGACGATTCAACTGTAAATCACGAAGACGACCTTCCAACTCCTCTACCTTTGTCTCGACTTTCTCCTGTCTCTCTTCGATTTTGTCCTGTATTTGTGTAATTTTTACATCCTGTGCTTCCAGTTGGGATGATATACGTGTCTCTTGTGCCAGTAGCTGAGTTTCTAGCCGGGATGACACCTGCGCTGATACCTCTGAAGATATACGCGTCTCCAGCGTTTGCATCTGGGATGAAAACTGTGATGACATCTCTGACATGCGTGTATCCTGTGCTTGCATCATCTGTGACATGGCAGCCAACAACGTGTTCATGTCCATAACTGTTGATGACGAAGGAGTCTTTTGCTGTTCTTCAACCTTCCCGGATGTCTATTGCACATCCTTCGACGAACATGCAGCCTCATCCTTCTGTTCGTCCTTTGCGGATGTATCGTCGGGTTTACCTTGGAAGTCGTATTTGTCCTCGTCGATGCCTTCAGCTTCCATAGCCTCTCGCAACCGGGATACAAATTCCACTTTTCTTCCGGAGGTGGCCAAATTACGCTTTTCCAACTCCTGTTTCAGCTCCTCAATCTTTAAGTCCTGAATTTTCGCCATTTTCAGTAGTTTATCCTTCGGGATTTATTTAACAATCCCACTTCTGACACCAATTAGGTTCATTCCTTATCTTTTTGGACTAAAATCTTAAAAGTGTCAAAATGCCAGAGCGTAAGCAAAATGCGCTCACTAAAAGAGAGTAACAGGAAAAGTAAAGGAACGCAAAAAACCAAATTTTTATTCCAAAGAATGGCAACAACAAAACTAACGTCAAATAAGAACTGAAATGTATGTACAAAACACATTCACAAAACCACAAGCACAATAAACATTTGCTATATTAATTATTTTTTGCCTCCTTCCAATTTCAATTCATTTCTTTTACTTTTTAGATTATTCTCACTTTTTGCGTATTCTTTAATTTCCGTTAATTTAAATTCAGTTGAGTTTGACACTTTTCAGGATTTTGCCAGGAAAAATTATTCTGACTAAATCTGACTACTTCAGACTGATGAGAGTGGCTCTCACTGACTTTTGCTCTCTCATTTTTGCTGTCATTTCCGAGTTAAGGAACGCTTTTTGGACTAAATCTGACTACTTCGGACTTTTTCTGACTATTTCTGGGAGATATGGAACGCTCCTATTGTTACGATTATCCTCGAAACCTTGAGGGATTTCCCAAATATACTCGGGCTCGTATCGCTGGATTGTTAAATAAATGCTATCGATGACCAAATTGTAGTACAATTAACTTTATTGTACAACAAACAATTTACAATACTTGCTAATACAGTAAAAACACGTTACAATACTTGTTAAAGCAATAACAACGCTTTACTACTTGTTAACACAATTAAACTTATAGCTTGCTTATTCGCAACTCAATTCTCCGCTCACTTTACTTGTAGCTTGCTGACTTGTAACTAACTCACCTCGCGGTGGCGGCGCCCTTATATACCTGCGCTGGCACTTATGGCAACTCTAGAACATTCTGAAGTTTATCGCTCATTCTCTTTCTCTCGCTGTTCGCAGAGTTCATCCAACTTGAAGTTTCTCTTTGTGGAACATTCTATGTCATTCTTCGAACATTCTGCCTATTTCTCGTTGTTCGCTTTGTGTTGCCGCAGTATTCGCCACATTACAGTAGCTCGTTTCTGTAACAATTCTCTACCAAGGCGAATTGAGGTATGAATTCGCCGCCCTGTTCTCTACTGCTAATTAGTAGGTGAGAGTGACGTATTTTCTCTACCAGTAGAGAAATAATCGGTAGAGAAAAGTTACAGAAACGGGCTATAGATATGAGTATTAAGGGTATTCATCAAACCTTATAAATGCATTGTAAACCGTATAAACTTATAATTGTGTAAACCTTATAAAAGAACTGTATGGAAACTCGTTTACACATTTCTGATAAATTTATCGAGCGATTTCACTAGTGGTATTCATCTAAACCGATAATTGTATCAAGCAGATAATCTTATAAGTTTATGCACTCTGTTACATGAACGACCCACACTCACTTTTCGTTTACACATGCGACAATAGTCGTGTTTTCTTTGGTTATAAAGCGCAGTGTCACTAACTTTATACTACTAGCACGGGGATAAAGAAATTATAGAAACTACTTCACTAAATTGGAAAAAAATATATTTACGAGATATCTATTTAAATAAATGTACATATAACATAAAGGCTATTTATTTGAAGCAAGTTATAAGAAACGATGGCAGAATGTGTTTGTGTATGAATTCATTTTTCACGGCTACCAAACTTTGCAAATTATCAGTGAAACAAAACAAACAGACGGGATAATAATTGAACCAGATCTCTATCAACATCATATCGTTGTTGAATTTGCGTGCAAAATTTGTATGCGGATCCTGATTATTGCCTAATACCATGTCCCCACCAAAAAGTTAACCATCTCAAATCGAACTTAACCACATCACTAACTATTGCTGTCCACACTGCGGCTTGAGGTTTATAAAACAGTACAAATGTAAAGAACAGTGTTCGGACCTCCAAAAATTGATTCAGGACTAAATTACTGCAAAAATCGGAGCAAAACCAAATTTTCCGTACTAGATTGAATTTTTTATTTTTATTTCTGACATTAATTGTTTGACTAAAATATTTTCTATTCATGCAAAATAAGAACGCGGGGCAATGTAAGGATAATATGTTACATATTTAGGTAATTTTTAGCATTTTCTATATAGTAGAACGTATCTAACACTTAATTTTTTAAAAAGCAAACCTTTTCTACTTTATATAAATTTCATTCTACATATATTTTTTAACAAGTTAAGTAAAGTTCTGCATCCGCCAATTTGTACAGCCATACATCAAGAAATAACGAAGTTACCTTATTGACGCATTGCTATGAAAGTGTTACTTTTTAACAGTGAGATTTGGCTAACTTTCAATTTTTTTACTGAAACCGGTGGTGAACACTCAAAACACAGCCCCAAGAGGGGCATAACATGAATGAAAAAAACGGAATAGATTGGAAGTCAAGCGGAGTAGAGGAGTCGATTTCAAATTTTTTCAAAAACCGGAGTAAATCTAATCTGATCTTAGTTGAGTCCAAACACGAATTCTTTACATTTTAACGCTAATGACCCACAGATGGCGGGAAAACACAGGGTTGTATCAGACTTTCGACGTGGTTTCGAGTTGGTTAGCTTTTAACCAGCTCAGTGAAATGGTTAAGTGCTGTCATTTTTATAAGACGAAACTACGCTAAATGAAGTAGGTTATTGGGATAACCAACTAAACAGCCATAACTACGTGGTTAGCCCCGGTGGGGACATGGTATAAGAGTAATATGAAAATTTTGAGAAATTTTTGTGATTTTGAGGATTTTTCAATCGTTTTTGAGGAATTTGGTAATTTGTTGTGGCAACACTGCTCTGTAAGAATATTGTTACGATTATCCTTGAAACCTTGAGGGATTTCCCAAATATACTCGGGCTCGTATCGCTGGATTGTTAAATAAATGCAATCGATGACCAAATTGTAGTACAATTAACTTTATTGTACAACAAACAATTTACAATACTCGCTAATACAGTAAAAACACTTTACAATACTTGTTAAAGCAATAACAATGCTTTACTACTTGTTAACACAATTAAACTTATAGCTTGCTTATTCGCAACTCAATTCTCCGCTCACTTTACTTGTAGCTTGCTGTCTTGTAACTTCGTAACTAACTCACCTCGTGGTGGCGGCGCCCTTATATACCTGCGCTGGCACTTATGGCAACTCTAGAACATTCTGAAGTTTATCGCTCATTCTCTTTCTCTCGCTGTTCGCAGTGTTCATCCAACTTGACGTTTCTCTTTGTGGAACATTCTACGTCATTCTTCGAACATTCTGCCTATTTCTCGTTGTTCGCTTTGTGTTGCCGCAGTATTCGCCACAATATTTAGTCAGCGCGCTGAATTCAACAGCTGGGATATGAAATCCCATGGCTGATCATGTGACATTTGTGTAGCTGAAAAGTTTTCCGCTGCCATCGTTTGCCTTTTCTGTATTTTCCAACGGCGTAGTGAACCAATTCCTTTAATTTTCCTGTTTAATAGACTCAATTGGTGGAAACTGTCTTCATATTAACAGTATTAAAGTACACGAGTTACAAAATGGAAAACGCTTGGCTACCCCCTATAATCATCACCTGTATCTGGGCATTTATTGGAATAATTTGTCCATTTTTTGCTCGTGGTCCCAGTAAGGGGTGAGTTGTGCAGTTATAATATTCAAGGTCTAAATATTGCAATTTATTTGATTTTTTCCATTGGTAGCGTCACTCAATGCTGTTTGATGTTGGTCGCGGCCACCTGTTGGTTGTTGTGAGTAAACGAATACAAATCGGAGAAGACTTGAGTCTTAATTCGATTTTTTATGTTTTTTTAGCTGGCTGTGCTGTTATATGACGCAAATGAACCCACTGATTGGACCTCAACTAACCATGAACGAAATCATGATAGTAGCTCGTGAATGGGGAAACCCAATCAAAGACCAAATCGACATAACATACTAAATATTAGTACTTGCGTCATTCGTCATCAGCATTATTGCTGAAGGCCTCCTGTTAACATTGTATTATATTATAAATTTTGTTTGTTATGTTTGTTTACCAATGTAAACTGAACGTGCCTATCTATTTCATCCTGCTACCTTTTAAGCACAAAAACATATCTATTAGTTCAAGTCGCAACTTATTAACAGCTGCATTAAATGCAATGCTGATACATATATCAAGGTTTCGCAGTTCCAATTTTTGGAACCCAATGCAAATACGTAAAATAAAGTGGCCTTATATAATTGAAATCGTTAACAAAAATAAAACACGACAGAGAAACTATAAGAAAAGTCGAAAAGAAAACTTGTTATTAATACATATTAAGAAATACTTAAGTATGTAATAAATGTAGCCTTTTACACTTAACAATATTTCAAAAGCTCGGTTAATCGTATTGTGAGATCCTTTTGAGTTTTTCGATCACCAGCGAACGTCGAATGCAAGGGCCCCTTTTCTTTCAATTAGCCAATGCGGACTTAATAGTTTTTTAATACAAATATATTTTAATATTAATATATTATTCAAATACAATTTACACAAATTTGTACAAATTAAAACGAAAT